ACAGTCATAACTACCAATAAGTTATTCTGAATAAGTTACCCCAAACAGCAAGTCAGTTTATTTTAATAATCTGCAGATTATCAGAATAATTTGTTTATCAGCAGATTATAAATAATCAACAGCTGCCCCAAGCAGACCCTGAAATCTTCTTTTTAATAGCAACATTGAAATATGTCAGTCTCATTTTTAAAATAGTCACCCATTCTGCCCAACCACCATAGGCGCAATCCCACCTCAAGCACAATTCTGAACTTCATTAAAAACTCTCTAACCCCCTTTTCCATTTTCTTATTTAACCCTCCCATATTCCCTCTAGAATTAAGGCCTTCACACATGCCTGCCAGCTTCCCTTCCTGCTATCCTACAGTTTTCTATCTGCATCTCTATAGCATTAAAAACATCAGAAATAATTTTTTCCTCTCCTTTTCAAGTTAGCAAAAATTTTATCTTTAGGTTCTCAACTAGTGAGCATTAAAACTCAAGGCATGTCAAGCCTTTTAAATAACTGAAATAATGAAACATAATAGGGTCATCATTAATATTGAATCATAATATTTGTTATTTCTATTGCAGGATGATTTTATTATTAATATACGGACAGAACACTTTCTCTCTGAAATGCCAATGCTGTCATCAATCTTCCACTTGGAAAAGGCAGGCTAACAGATGAACTCATCTCTAATTTCTTCTTATGTTATTAACAAACCGAATGAATCCGTGATCTCCATTATTTATTTATTACAACTTAGACTGTTATTTCCTACAGGCCTTATGACTTAGAGCCAAAGATCTACTTGACCAATCATATATGCAGTTCATTAATAAACAAGGATAGGAAGAAATAAAATTAAGGCCTTGGTCTCTGATTGACTAATGATTAATTTCAAACTTAATAGTGTTAACGGTTACATCAAAACTCACTTTGGATGAGATAGGACTGCAATACTAGAATATGTCTTCAGTTTCAAAATAATAATAATAATAATAATAAGAACATAACTATAATAAAGAAATATATTGTATTTTAGAGCAATTTCTTACATAACATTCTAATCTTACCTATTTGCAAAACTAACCCAAAATTACCTCCATTTACAATAATGCCGCCCAAATCTCAAAGAGTACAATAAAACCCTAACATAAATTTGTCATGTTTATAAATTTTACAATGATTTGATCATAGCACACATAAATGCAAGGGCTTGCTAGTTCATTTCTTTACGTTGGGTGATAATGATGTAAATATGCATGCTTTTCAATGTTATGTGGGTAATTCTGCCAATATTTTTTATCCCAATAACACTATTGAAAATGTATATATGTAATCATACACCTAGATGAAGAAAATTGAATATTAGCATCATTATCTAAAAAACTTAGAAGTAATATGAATTTCATTTTAAATTTATGTACCCAAACTAATGAAAAGTTTAGGCTCCACCACCATTTTTCAAAAACATTATCTCATCATAATAGTTAATGAGACTTTAGGTAACACCAACTGCAAACTCAATAAATTAAATTGTCCATTCCTCTAACACATTTGCCAGCATGGATAGCGGTATCACTTACACATACACATACTAATAAATCAACAGTTAGAAATTCTGTTTTCAAGCATCATTCCACGATAAATCAAATACCAACATCTCCAAAGACTATCATCCAAATGAAACGCCATAGGAATCTTTAACCATAAGAGGTGAAAAACAATAATTGAGAAAAATAGCTTTTACCCATAAAAAAGTGAGCGCCATAACTCAATAATGGAGACAATACTTTGCATACAGCCAAATGCCCAAAAATCGCATCATCAAAACCCGTCTAATGAACTTTGGACATTCTTTGGCCCAATAACTACTTCATGAACCCAGCATATAAAGTACTTGTACATTTTTTTTGAAAAATATCGACACATTCTATAATTCAATAAATTCTATACTCTCAAAAATAAATAAAAAATAAAAAATAAACTATGCATGAACTCATGCAAGATCATCAACTGATTAGGTGGACAAATAAAAACCCTCTACTAGCAAACATGCATGATAATCTCCTCATGTTGATCTGGCAATCTAAAAGAGTGGACTCCAAATGATTTTTGAAGTATAGCAATACTCTATATTTCATCCTAGTGTGAATAACTCAACAAACCTAATGCTAAAATCATAACAAATGAATTAACCTATGAAAAATTTAAGAATAGCTTCTAAAAAGTACTCCCATTCAGCTCATTTATTCCCATAGGTACAACCTATAGACCTATTAATAATGAAATGCATAAAAATCTAATATTTCAACAAACAACTTTTCCCACCAAAAAGTAAACATAAAAACCTCTTAGACTTCAAGAAATCTAGAGCAACGTAGTGAGACACATAAAACCAAACATGCTATAGCTTAACCCCACCCTCACTATTAGAAATGCAATTCAAAAGATTTGTTACTTTTCATGCAACTTCTGTAATCCAAAAAAAAAAAAGAACCATTTAAGCAATAAAGCATACAATATAACTTAGACCATATAGATAAATATTTCTTCATTGAAATTTGAAGCTATACATCTTCCTCTCAATCTTCAACAAACTAATAGAACAGATGTTGAAATTTACTAGCCTTCAGCAATCATAGGGACTACTGAAACTCTTTTACAAGACCTCGCTAGGTAAGAAAAATTGGATTTGCTTTTGCTTTTTTTATGTTAACTCAAACAAATAATGGTTTTTGTTTAAAAAAATGGGATTTAACAGGCATTTTCTAAACTTAATCAACTTATTTCTTACCTAGGGTATGCAGCATGGTAAATGTTTGCAAAAAATAAATTGCCTTTCATGAAACTAAGAATCAGTGGTGCCTACAACTTTCTTGATGATAAATTATTTGCAAATCCATTAAACATTAGGAATCAGATCCCAATAAATAAAGAAACTGTAACATCTTCATATAAATTTGAACAATTTGACCTCGGTTCAAGTTCAGAGACATAAATGAAACCATAGATGGCCAAATTTTCCCCCTTTAAATCATACCTATGTAGAGGTCAACAATTCCTAGCTAAATCATGTAAGGTGCACCTAAAAGACAGTGCTTCAAACTCTAACTCTCCCAGTTCCAATGTAGAGTTTTAGAATAGATAGGTCCTCAAGACAAGTGGAACCTACAAGATTGCTTCAACTCTACTAGTTCCATAAAACATTCAAGTTAGGTTTTCTAACTTGGAAAAACCAAAAAAAGTGCGATAGTGAGTGAGTGTGTGTGTGTCGCCTACCAAACACGGCCATTCAGAAAGATTCAGATTCATTATAGAGTGGCTAATAAAAGAAATCAGGATCTAAAACAAATAAATCCCAAACAAATATCTACAAAAATTCACAAGCACCATTCAACAAGAATGCATAGAAAAAAGGTCAAATTATTTAAAAAATTATTTTTAAGAGAATACATCCTATAAGCTACACCATGGTAGGCCAGAGTTCTCTACATAAAAGAGAAATTAAAGTCCTAATTTTAGGAACAAAAAGAAGTTCTAATTTTAGGAAAAACTTTACTTAAAAGACCAAACCTATGAACATGAAATATACATTATGCGAGTAATTAACAAATATGGAAGTTGCTAACTAACCAAATAAGAATTCTTAAAAAACCAAAATAAAATGAAATGAAAAATATAGTCCATACAAAATACATTCAATTATGAGAGATTAAAATGCATTAAAGAGTGAATTATGACAAGTAAAATAAATAACAAGAACAGTCCAATACATCTGCAGCAGTCCACAATCATCATTCTACAAGAATGATTACAATGCATTCAATTATGCGAAAATGGATTGATAAAAGAACACTTCGCACAAGTAAAGAATATGTCAAGAAAAACTTGTTCTGCCTCCAACCATAAAATATAATCAAGTTATAACCTTTCAATTTCCTTTAGGGTTGATAAGTATGTTCAAAACATTTTTAATTTACTCAAAATCGAAAAGGTTTATTTTTTATAACTGGAACATAGCTGACAAGAAATCAGTTCAGTTCAGCTTAAAATCTACTCAATAAATGATATATGCACATGGGGATAGATAATAATTCTTAGAAGGATAGCAGCCGCTGCCCCAAACATTTCCATCCTCCATCCAATTTTTGAATAGTTCGGATTTACAATGGCTAAAAGAACTTAGTATTATAAAATTAAAAGTTAATTTTTAACTATTTCAAATCCCAATATATGATATATGCACGTAGGGATAGATAATAATCCTTCTAGAAGGACAGTAGTCCCCGCCCACCATCCTTCATCCAATTTTTTGAGTAGTTCGGATTTAAATTTGCTAGAAGTCATTAGTATTATAAAAGTAACTAAAAAGTTAATTTTTAACTATTTTAAATCCCAATCATTCAAATTTTTTATGAATGACGAAAGATGTGTGAGGATGTATAGCAATCAATCAAGAATACATACATAGATACATATCCTATTTCATCAACCATTCAATATACACCAACATGCATTTTTATATGTACAATGTACTTCATAATGTAGTCTTATAAGTATTGAATTAGTATAAAATAACCAAATGACTTTAAAAATAAGTATAAATGTAACTGACTTCCATCAATGCAAAATTCAAATGGAAATCACTCATTTTAGACTTGAAACTTGGATTTCAAGTTGAAGCCAGCTCAATCAAAATTAACAAGATATCACCCCCAAATACATTCCATATGAATGGTATAAGAATAAAAAGGATGTATACAATGCTAAAATAGAGCATCCAAAGGAATCGAAGAAGGAATCATGTCCTCTTCCCTAGTTCAATGACAATTCATTCATATTACATACCCATCTACTGAAGCAAATAACACGAAAATATTTCATCAGAGATATCCATCTGCCAAAAACTGAAGAACAATGAAACACGGAGGAAAGAAACCCTAGAAGGGAATGGATCGGGGCTCCAATGCAAAATGCGAGCTAGCAAAGGAGGGAAGAAAAGAGAAGAGACCTTAGAGAGCGAGAAGCTAATGGAGAATTGTTCCTTGGTTGAAGAGAAGGAACAACTGCCGTCCCGTCGAGAAATGGGGATTTACACCAGAGAGGTTTCGCTAAGAAAAATGAGAGACGCCGCTCCACAGGGGTTTGTTGGGTTCAGTTGTCTACGCGTTATCGGATGGGCTGAAATCAATATCAAAAACCGGCTCTGACTCAAATTTTCTATCCCGACTCAAGACTTGGGTCTGACTCTTTTATCTAAAAAAATATTAAAGTGAAATTCGGAACTCCATAATAATCTCAAAAAAATTTCTAAATAATCTCAGAATAATATTTACGGTATTATTTCGGAACTATTGAAGTGGAATATATTGGTTTCTCTTCCATAACCCAGAAATAACCCTGACGCGGAGGTTATTTCTGGGTTATTTTTGAGTTATTTCAGGATTATTGAAATGTAATATATGAGTTTATCTTCAATAACCCCAAAATAACATAAAAATAACCACAAAATAACATCACCGGTGTTATTTCGGGATTATTGAAGTGGAACCGCAAATATTATTTTGGAGTTATTTCGGGATTATTGAATTGGAATACATGGGTTTTTTTTTTTTTAAATTACTCTGAAATAACTTTCGTTGTTTCATTTCAATAATCCTGAAATAACATCCATCATGTAACACACGTAGTAGCATATTATTGAAGTCCGCACATCCTTCCGTGATTTGATTTGAAAATTGATCAATTTATTTTAAATTAAATTGGATTATAATTTGATTATTTTAAATAAATGAGGAAACTTTTAATTAATTTTAATGATAAATCTAATTATTTTTTATTTAAATTAAATATCTTTAAAAGAATATCCATTTAATGTTTGTGTGGTCATTTGGTACGAATTTTAATAAGTTATAATCATATGTTTGAGGTTACATGTACATTTAACAAGGGCATGAACCCGGAACAAGAACGACATCAAAGGAGAACTGTAACAGTTAACTTGGTCATAGAATATTACAACACATACATTGTACGCTCTCCGTGTTATACATCATCTCATATTGGGGACAAATTGGTAGAAGAAATGCTAACAGGGCATCTAAGAAGATTCAGTAACATGTTTCGCATGACGCAGGAAGTCTTTTGAGATTTACTTGAGATTTACTAGCAACTAAGTCAATCTCATGGCCTACGTGGGTCATCGAGGACGACTGACCGTGAGGTCTTGACATTGAATCTGTAGATATTATCACAGAACAAGTCAATTCATGTTGTGATAGAACGCTTCCAGCACTCATTGGAAACGATAAACATATACTTCTCAGTGGGGTTGAATGCTCTCGTCAGTCTGTCCAAGATTGTCATAAAGCGAATCGATCCAATGTTTTCACACACTCCGTTAGAGATTCAGCATGATGCACGATACATGTCTTACTTCAAAGTAATTCCTCGACTTCAATTTTTTGGTGCTACAATATCATTTGCTCAGATGACATACTATTTGTTTAGGATTGTATTGGTGAATATATGATACTTACGCTGATGCACAAGTTGCAAATAATGAGAAGATTGCATTTATTGGTCGCACTGGAATTTCAACCCAGAATGTCATGGTCGTCTATGACTTCAACAAGTGTTTTTCTTTCGTCATGCCTGGCTGGGAGGGTAGCGCACACGATAACAAAGTTTTTAAGAGTGCTACAAGGAATCCTCACTTCAACTTCTCTCACCCTCTGCTCGGTACGTTTCTTACCTACATACATTTGTTTCTCACTTTATATGTTAAAATTAAAGTAGAACACTCTACATGAAAGTATTATCTAGTGGATGTCGGCTACCCTATGCAGCGAGGGTACCTTAAACCCTTCCCTAACACCGGATACCATATACCAGACTTCGAAAGAGCAAGCAATGTTACACGAAATAAGAATGAGATGTTCAACAAAAAACATTCATCAATGAGAGGGGTCATCAAGAGGACATTTGGGGTTTGGAAAAAAAATGGGTGATATTGCGCGATATGTCAACTTACCCCTTTCTCAAACTAGTACAAATTTTTATAGCGATGATGGCGTTGCACAACTTCATTATGCGACACCCATCTCAATTTGATGTTGACTTCCACAATGCCGAAGAGAATGAACCAGCTGAAGCTTTTGAATACTGCATCGGTCATTCTCTCCCCTGAGGGGAGAACGACCATTCTAACATTTGCACGAAGGAGGGCAAGGTGCAAATGAAATGTCGTCCATTTAAGAACAGATTACAAATGAATTGGTTTGAGCGTGACTATTGTTTGTATAATTGATGTTAAATAACATAAGTTTTGCACTTCATGGTATCACATATTTTGTAATGTTTTATGTTAAGAAAATGAAGCAAATTTTAACTTAAAATATAAATTCTATTGAGGAAAGCATTTGGAATATGTGCAAATTATTTCATTGGTTTCCTTGTTGTTATTAAAGTTTAGGTGTTAGATATGCAAGCACAAAGGAATTGTATGGTATGTGTGTGAGAGATTCTTCATTTCTCTCTTCTACTGAGAGGTATGTATGCAAGGGTGTAAGCTTTTCTGCTGAGTGTTAAATGTTGAGCATTAACTTTATATTTGAAATGGGGCATTTGGGCATTTGGGCATTTGGTGAGATATTCTAATAAAATTCTATTTAGGTGTTTGATATGTAAATACATAAGATTAAAAATGGAAATCTTTTTGCATTTACAAATCTTTTTGTAGATATATACAATGTTTGGAATATTTTTGTTCTTTTCTGATAAAATTCTATTGAGGTGAAGTTTAGGTGAATGTATATGTATGTCATTCAAAACTCATCAAATCTTTTGGATCTTCTAAATTATTTATTCTCTTTCTGCATTTATAAATCTCACACCTGAACTTTCATATGTACATACATAACACTTTGCACAACTCATAGAGCTGACCAGAAGAGATCATACTCTCGAAGGTTGTTTGGTGGTAAGAATGAAGTAGTATTTATAAATTTCTTGTTAAGCTGCTAAAAAAAACTCGGAAAATTGGGACAACATTCATTTGATTTGTTATGGCAAAGCTAATTCCATGGGAATCAACTTTTTAGGTGCAATTACAAATATTTCATGCATTTATTTACAAATCTAACACTTGAACTTTCATATCTACATACATATCACTTTGCACAACTCATAGAGCTGACCAAAGAGATCATGCTCTCGAAGGTTATTTGGTGGCAAGAATAAAGTAGGATTTATAAATTTCTTGTTAAGCTGCTCAAAAAAACTCATGAAATTGGGACAACATTCATTTGATCTGTTATGACAAAGCTAATTCCATGATAATCAACTTTTTAGGTGCATTTACAATAAAATATGAGATATTTACAAATCTAACACCTGAACTTTCATATCTACATGCATATCACTTTGCACAACTCATAGAGCTAGCCAGAAGAGATCATGCTCTTAAAGGTTGTTTGGTGGCAAGAATGAAGCAGGATTTATAAATTTCTTGTTAAGTTGCTAGAAAAAATTCAGGAAACTAGGATAACATTAATTTGATTTGTTATGACAAAGCTAATTCCATGGGAGTCAACTTTTTAGGTGCATGAGATATTTACAAATCTAACACCTGAACTTTCATATCTACATACATATCACTTTGCACATATCACTTTGCACTTGCACAACTTATAGAGCTTGCCAGAAGAGATTATGCTCTCTGAGGTTGTTTGGTGGCAAGAATGAAGTAGGATTTATAAATTTCTTGTTAAGCTGCTCAAAAAAATTCAGGAAATTGGGACAACATTCATTTGATATGTTATGGCAAAGCTAATTCTATGGGAATCAAACTCTTGGATGTTCTAAAATATTAATTTTTTTTCTTTCTGCATTTACATATATACCACTTGAACTTCATATTTTGCTTCACTGATTTAGCTCAATAGAAGAGATGATGCTCTCCAAGTTTATTTGATGGCAAGAGTAATCATGATTTGAAAATTTCTTGTTAAGCTGATCAAAAGAATTCAGCAATTTGGGACAACATGCCTTTCTTATGTTTTCGCACATCTCACGAAATCATATTTTTAGGGGCTTTTACAATCATATCATGCTACACTCATCAATACTCTTGGATTTTCTAAAGTATTTTTTTTTTTTTTTTGCATTTCTTATCCACTGAAGCTTGTTTGCATGCAATTTATTTGGATTTTCTGTAAAGTTATGGAGTAAGACATTGCTAGGAGTTTAGATTCTGATGAGGCACTCTAGGATGGCTTAAACTTTTAAACAACCATTGTTGCCATTACCAAGGAAAGTTGCTCTCCTTAAAATAAAATTAATATTGAATTCAGTCCAATGGGGGATGTTTTGAAAACATGTAAACATTAAGTGCAATGAATTTGGGGCTGATTTGGAAACCTGTAAACATTAACTGCAGTGAATATTGAATGCAGTCCTATGGGGCTTGTGGTTGTTTTTGTTATGATGGATGAATTTTCCTGTCTATGAAGTCTACTCCTTTTATACATGTTGTTGCGATTTGAATGAAAACCTGTAAACATGTTGCTGCAATTTCTACCATTGGAGAAGTCTATGATTGCAAGGGTAAAATATCTTCTAACACCTGAACTTTCATATATAAATGCATAGGCATTTCCTCAACTCATCCAGCTGACCAGAAGAGATCATGCTCTCGAAGGTTGTTTGGTGGCAAGAATGAAACAAGATTTATAAATTTCTTGTTAAGCTGCTCAAAAGAATTCAGGGAATTGGGACAGCAAGCCTTTGTTCTGTTATGTCAAAGCTATATGGAAGGCAACATTTTATTTTTTCACCAGGAAAGGAATATGTTGTAAATGTATGAAAATGATCTATTTTTCATTTCTTAGCATTGACAATGAGACATTGTTGAATGTAAGCGATGTATATTTTTGTTTTATTACAGTAATGAATATACATGATTCCTTTCCCGTGAATGTAGGTCTGCATGACCGAACCACGTTAAATCCATTGTCTTTATTGGTTTATTTAACTTTTTTTATGTAGTCGCTGTAAATCACAATTCATACTTGGATTGATGGATATCTCAATTTCTTATACTTTTTAAATGTTCTCATTCAATGTATATCTCTTTCGTACTAATAAAATGAGTCATTTACAAATAAAGAT